GTACACCTGGGATTGCTTTCCACTTACAGAGGTGGTGATGGTACTCCAAATACTTAGCTTCAATAGATATGAAAAATATAATATTTATATTAATAGAAAATTAAAGTTTCAGCTATATTGGTCTGCAGTAGAACAGCTAGATTCGAGTCCACTAGCACCTTTGAGACTATGACATATCCCTTCTACTTCTCTCCCTCAGAGTCAAGATTTTCCCTCCATTCCTATTTCCCTTCACTGACTGAGCAGCCCTGGTAGCGTATTTATTCTTCCCTTGAGGAAACCTTGTCTGTCCCACCCTTTGAGTAAGGTATATTTTGGCAAGTTGCTTAGCCCAAGAACTTGAGGGAAGGGATAGGACCACCCTTTAACTTCAACCCTTGAAAATGGCTCTTGAGACATTTCAAATTTAAAAATAACAAAAAGTTTTATTTAACATCAAAGGGAAAGGTCAGGTGAAATCAGGGGTTGAAATTACTGAGGTAAAATTATTACAAGCACAGTCTTTTGTTCTTATATATCAGGCTAATGAGAGGTTCTTAAATTATTCACAGTTAGATTTTTATGTTGAAAGGCTTTTGTTCCAGTGTTTTCCCAAACACTCTAATATACTTTATTTGTATAATCACTGACTCTTTTTGGTGCCCAGAAGGCCGGTACCCTCTTCCCGCTGATCTCCAGTCAGTTCAGTCAACCAACAGTGGATCTGTTTGTATTAGAGACAAACCACCAGCTCCCCCAGTTCTTCACTTGATTCTTTCATCTCCAGGCGAAAGCCCAGGGATACACTTCTGTGGCCAGAAGACCTCTTATTCACATTTCTCTCATTGCCACTGCTCCTCAGAGTGTTGAGGAGGATCAGAGAACAGAGGGCGAGTGTCATCTTGGTGGCTCTCCTGTGGCTGCGACACCCTTGGTTTTTGACCCTCCAGGAACTGGTGGGAACACCCCTATTGACTCTTCCAACAACTCCAGACGTGCTGCAACAGGGCCCGGTGTGGCATCTGGACCCAGGGTGGTTCCGACTGACTGCATGGAAATTGAACAGGGTAACTTCCTAGGCCTGGGCTATGGTTCCAGTGTAATAGAAACTATTTTAGCATCTAGAAGTGCCTCTACTAACCAGATTTGCAACACTACCTGGAAGGCCTTTAACAGGTGGCGCAGGAGGAAAGGACTACATTCTTTGCAGCCCTTTTTTGGGGGGGGCTCCTAGCCTTTCTCCAGAACAGTCTCATTTTGGGTCTCAAGCAGCCACCCTGAAGAGACAAATAGCCTCCCTCTCTTCTGTGCTACCTCATTACGATGGGTTCTCCCTCTCCAGATGCCCACACAGAAAGCATTTTCTGAGAGGAGAAACATTAAAGTGTTCCTCTATGATACACAGGTTTGCCTCGTGGAATCTGCACACTGTGCTATCTGCCTTGACCAGACCAGCCTTCAAACTCATCAGGGAGGTCTCGTTAAGATGGCTACAGATGAATGCGCTCTTTCTCATTGCAGTGACGTCTGCATGGAGGGTGTAGGACCTAGGGGCCTTGTCCATGAAAAAGGAACTATGTGTTTCACAAGGACAAGGTCATGCTCCGGACTGACCTGTCCTTTCTACCCAAAACCAGCTTCGTCTTCCATAGGTCACAGGAGATAGCGTTACTATCCTTCTTCTCCTTCTGCTCAAGGCCACAGCACTCTAAAGAGAAACTATGGGACACTTGATGTATGACAGGCACTCAAGTCATTTCTAATTATGACAGAAAGCATCCTTTTTATCAATGTTTCCTCCCCGAATCTGGGCAGGAAGATGTCAAAGGCATCTATTAGCAAGACTGTGAAGTTATACATCATAGCGGCATACAGAACTCTCAAAAAGGAAGTCCCTATGGCCATCACGGCTCATTCTGTACAAAGCACTTCCACTAATGTGGCTCTAATCAACCATGCCTCTGTGGAGGAAGTTTGCAGGGCAGCTACATCATCCTCCATCTCTAAATTTATAAGGGATTATAAATTAAACCTGTATGATTTGGACGATGCTGCTTTTGGGAGGAGGATATTGCAGCATGTTTTATCATACAATGATGATGACCCTTCCAAATGAGGAGCACTGTTCTGGGAGTTCCCGAAGATGTCCTTCACCTCAGAGGGAAAATGGCCCATTGGTCACTTACCATGAAGGGGTCTTCTCCTCTGAGGTACAAAGTACATCTTCACCTCCCTAGTCATTGTCTCATGGCTGTCCATCACTGGACTTTAGTCAATAGATGGGCAATTTTCACAGTGGAGGGTTGTAAGCAGTGGGGTACTGCAGGTTCTCAGTACTGGGTCCGATGCTTTTTAACTTGTTCATTAATTATTTGGAGTTGGGAGTATGCATTGAAGTGGCAGATGACACGAAGTTGTTCAGGGTGGTGAGAACCAGGGAGGATTGTGAGGCACCCCAAAGGGATCTGTCGAGGATGGGTGAGTGGGCATCAATGCGACAAATGGGGTTCAGTGTGGCCAAGTGCAAAGTGATGCACAATGGAGCCAAAAATCCTAACTATAAATATACTTTGATTGGGTCTGAATTGGCGGAGACTGACCAAGAGAGAGATCTTGGAGTCATAGTAGATAACTCACTGAAAATGTTGAGACAGTGTGTGACTGCAATAAAAAAGGCCAACGCTATGCTCAGGATTATTAGAAAGGGAGTTGAAAACAAATCAGGAAGTATCATAATGCCCCTGTATAAACTGAAGGTGCGACCACATTTGGAATACTGTGTACAATTCTTGTCACTACACCTCAGAAAGAACAACAGTGGGAGGGCTTCTAGTGTCCTGGCCCCACTGCTGGACCTCCTGATGGCACCTGGTATTTTTGGCCACTGTGTGACAGAGTGTTGGACTGGATGGGCCATTGGCCTGATCCAACATTGGCTTCTCTTTTTAAAAAGTGCTGATTGTAAGAACAGGGGTAGCTTATTGGAGCCTAGCAAAGAAGTAAGGGGCTGTGCCAAACAGTGTAGCTATACTTTCCAAGTGCTGGAAAGCAGCATTAGCTGTTCTGGTTTCTTAAACTCACAGGTATTTAAAGCTATTAATACCAGGGAAGCTGGAATTTCCAGTAGGAGGGGTTCTGTGCCTAGAAAGTGGATTCCGTACTTGCACAGCTATCACAAGCATCTGAAATTCATACAGCCACAATTATATGTCCTGTTGCCTTTCTTCCTCTTAACTGGTTTCATTTATTAAAAATATTTATTAGCCACCTTTCTTCCTTATGGAGCTCAAGGCAGCTTACAAAATTGATAAAACTTTTAAAATAGATAATATAAAACCAAAATTTAAAATCACAGTTTAGGACTGCTTTAATCAAATGCAGTCCTAAATAAAATTGTCTTCAGCAGCCTCCTAAAGATCAAAAGTAGGGGGGCACACCTCCCAGGGCAGGTTATTCCATTATTGTGGGGCTGCCATTGAAAAACGCCCTCTCTCATGTGTCCACCAAATGAGCTTCTTTAATTGATGGAACAGTCAAGAGGGCATCTCCCTGTGATCTTAATTCCCAAGGAGGAACATATGGGAGAAGACAGTCCTTTAGATACCTTGATTCCAAGCCATATAGGACTTTAAAGGTCAAGACCAACACCTTCAACTGAGCTTGGGAGTGGATTGTTAGCCCATGTAATTGTTTTATGGATCGTACAGCCCCCTCTTCAAGGAAGCATTCACTACTCACCCACTCAGCCAGTCCCCCTTTGGCAGCTTTTATCAGCTGTGAAGGGCATGTGTCAAGAGCACTGGTGGTAGACCTCACCTCTCCAAGGATTTTGTGCACACCCTTGGGGCTGAAAGGTATCCATGTTGCAGGTGCAAAATGTGCAATGTGTGAACATGCATACATGCCATCATCTGACCCAGAAAGAATATGGGTGATTTTGTCTGCAAAGGAAGTAGCAAATTGATCATAGTGGACTGTGGTGTGGTCAGAATCGAATTCCATGGGTCTATGATATAAAACCCCCTGGACCACATGAAACAGTTTTGCTGGACATGTACAGACACAATGGTGGTGGAGAAATATTACCTTTTTGCCATCATTGCTGCCATGAAATAGGCTCTAATATGGGTTTAACTTTTATGCTGTGTTTGATCAGTCTCTCTCTGAGTTTTCAGCCAGTGGTGCTCTAACCATAATCCCTCCCTTTTTATCCTCATAACTTCCCCAGTAAACCAACGGAGACTGCTTGGGTTTCTCTTGAGGGAGAAGTCACTTAGGGGCAATTGTGTCAACAGCTTGGGCCATCAGCAACCAAGGTGAGGAAATCCCCAGACACTGATTAAAAAATCATTGGGATCCCTCAGGCGCCTGGGGTGGACCACCTTAATGGGTCCAGTACCCCTATAGAGGAAGGAAGAAGCACTAAGTCTAAACTCTATGAGTTAATGATATGTCAGTGATAAGACAGTAAGCTTTAACTCCCCTACTGCAGATCACCCTCCCCTTCAGACCAAATCCAGTGTGTGTCTGCAAAGGAAGTAACAAATTGCGGGGCCAGATTAAAGGGTACCCTGTCAAGATGTTTCTTTCTACCCACCCTGATCTGTGATGTAAAGAAGAGATGTCAAGATTGCTCACAGTATTCCTTTTTCTGTGGCCCTGAGCAAAATAGTTACCCATGGTGAAGCATGCAATGAAGGCTTTAGAATTGGAAATAACATAAACATAGAGGAATGAATATCCTTGAATGTCTGAATATACATGAACACATGGAACTGCCTTCTAATGAGTCAGACCACAGGTCTAATCTAGCAGCAGCTCTCTGAGATCTCAGGCCCTTCACATCTCCTACTGTTTGATGCTTTTAACTGGAGGTCCTGGGATTGAACCTAGGCCCTTGTGCATGCAAAGGAAATACTCTACTACCAAGGCATGTCCCCACTCTCAAAACATTTACAGCTAAAAAAATTTTTTTCATGATGCCCAGTGAATGTACATAGATTCAAAATGTTGTTGAGGAATATGTAGATAATTTAATCATCTATATTTCACATATTGTCTAGTCATTGTGCATGTCCAGTACTTCAAGACAATGCATTTTTACTGGTCGGTCATACAGTACATATGGTAATCCAGCATGGCTTGGAGGTTATACATATTGACGGATAATATACATGATCCTACTCCTAATATGTGGATATTTCAGTAATGCATGGTGAATGTACACAATATCCAGATTTATTTACACTCACCATTCAATTAAGTACAATTTGGGAAAAATTAATTATATGCTGCAATCTAAATCATTCACACTTGAAATGAACCTCTAGTGAAAGTGGCTAAGGATCAGGTACAACATTTATAATATATATAACGTGCTTGTTGTATATTGGGGGGTGGGGTGGAGAATCCTACAACTGTCTTCCGTTAAGTTAGTAGTCTTGCTATGAGGTATCTTGCTCTGGAGGAGAAGAACCTTCATTTTGCAGAAGGGAGCTGTAGGATGAACATAGGCCATGGTTTGATAATATTACATGATTTCAGTATAGCATTTATAAAAAAACAAATTATAGTTTTTAAATCAGTTTAACATAGTTAACATGAATAACACATACATTCTAAATATATAGGTAAAGTAGCCACTGTTGTACAGTACGGTCATTAGTTAAGTAAATAATGGATAACTGATCAGTTTATTTAGCCATGGCCAAATACAATTTGCATTACATGCAGAATGAATTCAGCAATATTACAGTACTCAAGCAAAAATAAGAAATTTCTATACAAGGGCAGTATATGATGGCTACAATAAAGTAGCTCCAATGTGCACACATGTTTCCACTTTGTCCTTCAAGAGCAATGAGAGTAGTGTATACTTTTGAAATTTCTGCTTTCATAGTTTTTCCTTCACAATAGACTGCTATGCCCCTGTGAGTGCACGTATTTGGACTGTACACAAACCCCCCCAATACGAGGAGCATTTATGTTTACAGTGTATAATAAAATAGTTGTGTTGTACTGGCCTGCAGAGAATTTAATCATTCTTTCTAAGAAGGAAAAAAAAATTATACAATATCTATATTTTTAATAGTCATCATACATACATGTTACAGAAGGTAGCTTACAGTTGTAGGGGAAAACTACATGAATAAATACTAAAAGCTTTGAGGCTGCTAAATGTAGTTTCAATCTTGCCTTTCAGTAAACTACAATGATTAAATATTGTCTAGTCTGATTAGAGTATCAGTTACATACAGTACATCAGTTTTTTTCTTAGCCAGTATAATTTACTTAACTTAAAAGTTCACAACTTTTACTTGATATCTGATATATACTTTATACACACAACCTCTGCAATACTGAAATAACTAGTTTAATGGGAAAAGTTGTTTTATGTCTTTGTATTATTTTCTCCTAAGGAAAAAACAGTCTATATTACATAGATAGCTTGGACTGTAATAGGAAACAATGGCTTGGATCCTATGACATCATTTCCCTTATGCTTCTCTTTGCCCTCTGCAGAGGCTTTCCTCTGCTGTGGTGCTCACTTCCTCTGCAGCTAGCACTTCTGTGTGCATAAGGACTCCTTTAAAAAATGATCTTATGTATGCAGAAGTGCTAGTGGCAGAGAAAGTGCACTCTGCAGCAGCGAAAAGCATCTACAGGGGCTCAAGAAGGAGAGTGACGTCATTAGACCCAACCCAATAGACTTCAGCAAAGCATTCAGGAATGTTCTTACGTTATACCAAAAGTTTGCTTATTTTACACAAGTGGTGAATGTAAATGAATAAATCAAAAGGCATTTATGGTATATTATGTTACTAATTTACAACCTCTGAAATAATTGTCGGTATTTTAAGGTAACTGGACAGTATAAAGCTGCCCAACAATTTTCAAGTACTACGATGCTGGTTTTGATATTTTTATCTAACAGATGCATTGACTGTAGTCTTATTTTCCAAAATTTCCAATCTGCACACTGTTTCTGTTTAATATACAGCGAAATGTTCCAGGCTGGACATCCCAGTATTTAACAGGATTGTTGAATAGGCTAATGCCACTGTACAATGTCTTCTTCAACCTTCCTCCTGTTGGACAAAAATCATTCACTCCCACTTTCGAAATACTGTTAGAATGAAGGAAGATAACCTGTAGGAAGGCAACAGAGAAATACAACCTGAATAACAAAAAGAAAAATCACAGTGTGGAACTCACATTCTAGGGCTTCATGGTATGTAATGTGAACTCAGATGTGAATTTGTGCAGTGTAGGGCTTACATTAGCTCAGTCTCTTAAGGAGTTGTTTTGTCACTGGCTTTGTCCCCTTGGGTGGTGTCTCTTTGCAGCTGGGTCCCACAGGTTGACCCTAAAACTCTCTTGCTTTTGGTTCTTTCTTGTTTCTGACTTTGTAACATATATGCACCCAAACTGTGTATTACCTGTAGATACTTCAAATCTGGAAGGCCAGTAGGGACTCTCTTCAATTTGTTCTTTTCTAGATGTATTTCTCGTATACTTGGTATTCTTGCAAAAGTTCCATTTTCTACATCCTTGATCCTGTTGTTTCCCAGCCCCAACCTAGAGATAAATAAAGGAATCCTAATAGTGTGACACATTATTGTTTGTTATTTACATCATGTATACCCTGCTTTTCTCCCCAGTGGGGATCCAAAGTGGCTTACATCATTCTCCTCTCCACCATTTTGGAAAAAAGGAAATCCTGAAGACCCCCACCTACTGTAACTAATAACACAAAAAATTGTTTGTGCTGCTGGTGTTTGTGTCACCTTTCATCTTAAAGCATAAAAGTGCAGATATCTGAAAAAGAGAGAAACGATTTTGGGGACTTGTTTAACAATCCTGCTTCAGTCTGTTTGTGGACTATGCTAGCTATGTTGACTGCTGAGCCTCATGTGCATGAACTGTTCAATCCATTAAGTCCTCATTTGGATGGTGGCGTGCTGGGAGTACATTTGCATAATCCTCAATACTGAATTAACTTTTATCTATTAATATTGTTTGTAGTTTCAGTCACTACCCTTACTTTAATAAAGACGTAAAAAGTTTGGAGAAAAATCCTAAATTGCCTGTTTTATCAAATTTTCCGAAAGAATTTCCCATATATTGTCTTACCTTTGAAGATTTTTATACCGAATAAAATCCTCAAGTTCTACTGCAGAAATCTTGTTGTCATCTAGATGAAGCTCTAGTAGACTGGATGGTAATCCTATTGAGAAAAGTATTTGATATTACTCGGTTGTAGACAGTTTAAAGGCATATGTTTTCAACACTTAAATATAATATTAAACGTAAAATGTGGAAATGATTTGGTCATTTTATCTGTCAGTTTACTCGTTAATTTGGACTTTTTAGATTGTCCCTTCCCAAGATTTAGAGTAGTATGCTTAACATTGCTGAAAGAAAACTTACTAAATATTATATAGAAATAGTCAATTTTCTCAATATTTTACATGGTGCCAGTGTTTCTCCTACTTTTGCAAAAGTCCTGGGGTGGTTATAATATGATTATTATTTTTTTAAGTCCCCGGAGGGATATTTTTTATTTTGCAAAACTACAAAAACTACAAAGAAATATTAGGGAAGGGACTACAACTAAGGAGAAAGGAAAGCAAACCACACGAAACTAAGACCCCAAGAGGAGGAGATCTCAGCCTTAGTTTTATCATTTCATTTAACCTAACAGCACTCTGAAAGTAGCTCACAATAAGTGGGTGAGAACCCTCCACCCAGGTTAGATGCAGTGAGTTAGGACAGCTATCGGAGCCTTTCATCCTAGACAAAAGGAGTCAAACAGGGATGTTGCATCTGTTGTTCAATTGCGCCCCTTTTCAATTTATATATAAATGACTTCAGAGCCTGTCTCCTAGAGGAAGCATGTCACCTTCCACATTTATCTAAGCACAAAGTTCCAATCCTTCTATATGCTGATGGTGCAGTGATAGTGTCTAGATCAATATTGGGCCTGTCCATCAATGTGGTGAAATCCAAGGTCATAGTATTCACCAAAAGGAAAAAGGAAGAAATCTTCAAATATGACATAGCAGGCCAACCTTTGGAACAGGTCAATTACTTTAAATATCTGGGAATTTCACTTTGAAGCATCTCTCACATGGAAAACACACTTCGATCTAGCAAGGAACACAGCCTTGAGAGTAGGGAGGACAATTCTAAAATACTTCTGCTCATCAGGAGGCAAATTTGGCCCCTCGGCCTTAAAGGTATTTAATAATAAGGTTCTAAACCAATTCCTGTATGGTGCAGAAATTTGGATTCAGGCCACTTCTGAAAAAATGGATTCCATCCAGTATGACTTTTTCCGACGCACTGAGAACAAATTATCGGTGGAAGCTAGGGCTTGAATCAGAGCATTTCTCTTCAAAGTAAAAGTTTTAGAATCTGAGGGAGGATCTACTCTACTTGGGCTTATCCTGTCAGATAAACATTATAGCCAATGGGATCAGCTATTGGAAAAGAAAATGAAATGCCTAGGAATAACAAATGATATGATTAAGAATACAGAGACTAAAGACATTATAAGACAAATTTAAAAATCTGTAAGGAAGTTGGATGTTACAAGTATGACTATTAAGGCGCTCAGGATATGTTCAACACTCCATTTGGGAATTGCCCTCCCGAGGCAACTGCCAAAATATTTTTATCAATTGACAGTCCCAAAACTAAGAAGAGCTTTTACTTTGGCAAGAATGAATGTTCTTCCTTCAGTGGTTTTGGAGGGCAGATATAATAGAGTATCATACTCTAACAGAACATGCAGACGCTCAAATGATAAAATTGAAACCATCAAACATATGAATATGGCGTGCCCTATATTCAATGAGTTGAGGGCTAATTTAGTCACCCCTTTACTTAAAGATATGGAATTGCTAAATATGCGAGCCCAGGTGTCATGGCTACTATCTGATACAAATGATCATGTCAGCCTCTCAGTGGAAAAATTCATAGGTGCAATAATCAAATATAAGAGAAATAATACTGAATAAGGTCTTTTAAAATCTTGCTCTTTGACTATAAAAGATGCTCTTAGTTTGACAGGCTTGGAGTGCAATCCTAAATTGAGTTACAACTGTCAAATCTTGTTGACGTCTGTCTGTCTGTCTGTCTGTCTATCTCTGCTCATACAGCTATAGCCTTGAGCAGAAAATCAAATAATAAAATAAAATAATGCTTTACTTGATATTCTTCTGCTGCTGTTTGATTATTGTCCCTAAAAATTGAGCTGCAGGCAGTGTTACAGAATCATTTGTATCCTATAATAACCCCATTGACTTTAATGGGCTTAGAAGGGCATAGCTCTGTTTAGGATTATGCTGTTAGTCCTAGAAATTTTTTGTCTATGTAATGTATTTTTCTACCCAAGACTGCAACCATGTCAGGACCTGAGAACCACAGCATTTGGAGAACTTTAGACCACTACTATACTGAATCATCATGAGTGTGGTCTTACACTCTGCTGTGTTTCTTGATGATGCCATCAGATCATACCAACAATATATGATCAGGGAACAGCACACCACAGAAGACACCTCTCTCTTTGTGCTTTTCTTTTAGTAAAGTCAGTTTAGTCAGTAAGATGAGCATGCCAGCCCTTACTATTTTATTTCGCTTGTAGAGATGCACTTTGGTTTTACTTGTCATTTTTACTTACTGTTTCTGATGTGTTGAAATTATATTTTGTTGACTGTCAATAATTTTGTGTATTCTATTGATTACAAGCTTAAATCAAGTTAAGGTAAAGTAGGGTAAACATTTCTTAAATGCAGTGCTGTTCTTGCTAGCTGTATGGCCAGTACAGCTGTAATGGTTGGTGATCTCTGAATATCACCTGAAGGTAAATGGAATGTGCCCTAGATAAACACTAAATTATATGCTGCTGTTGCAGATTAAAAGCTGCAGCACAGCAGCTTCACTCTCTAAGGCCTCTAGGGCTGCCAAGCTGCGGTGGGGGATCCGCATGTCTTCACAGGATCACTGCCGCGGGGGACAGCGATACGCGTTGCACCGCCATCGCCAGGATGTGACGCTATGCGTCGCTCTGACAAGGGGGCTGTTTGGAGTCCCGTTGCCAGAGCGACGCGTAGCATCACATCCTGGCGACAGCGGTGCAACGCGTATCGCTGTCCCCCGCAGCAGGGATCCTGTGAAGACGTGTGGATCCCCCGTCGCGGCTTGGCAGCCCTAAAGGCCTCAGTTTATTCATAATGGTGACATCACTTAAGTTCCTATGCGTATTGACCTGCATGGATTTGGGAATGTCACAAATGCTAGAAAGTGCTAGGTATCTTCTTTAAGTTTCAGGTTTACTGCATATTTCCTAGAAGCTACAAAACCACATGTAGAAACTGTATGCAGTTTCTCAGCTGTTGGTGGGAAGTTCATTTTTTTCTAATCAAAATACGAATAATCATCACTGCATGTAGAATTTTTCCAAAGGATGTAATTATAATTGTCATGGATGTTAAGTCAGCATAGGCTATGGAAAATTGTAAGCATGAAGTATATTTAGTGTGCTGTTTTCATGCTTATCTGCAGAATAGTTTTCCAAGTTGAATATAAGTAGCTACTGGTACTTTAAAACTATTAGGTGATACATTCAACCAATAGTTGTTTCTTTGGTGTTCTTTAAAATTCAGATGATGGAAGACATTGAGTACTTTTAGGTTTTGAAAGCTGGTTTGTTTATTATACTGAGTTATCTGTTTTCTGTGCTGTACCATGACCTCAAGCATGCTTCTGGTTTCCATTGTGGCTTAGGAAAGTATTAAAGCTGTGGTGCTGTTAGTTCTGGCAAGATTCAATATGAAAATACCAAGAACAGTTTCTTCTTCGAGCTTCTTAGTATGCCAGTACCTCCCATGTTTTTCTAGCAAAGTTAATAATGTGTTTTGCTACTTCTGAACTGGAAAATTAGACAAGAATACAGGTAGGCCTGTGGGGTTAACATGCAAGATGTGACCTAACGCTACTGTATTAGTGTTAATCAGTAATGAGTCAACATTTTTTCAGATAGTTGAAGGATCTTTTTAACAGTGTTTGTTCTATGAATGTTTCTCCAACTAGTAAGATTTTAACACTCTGACAAGGAAACTAAGGCCCCGGTCACACGGCAAAGTTGCTGCGGGAGAGGCACGGATGGTGGGCGGATTATCCGGGCGCGATCACACCCCAACATCTGGGAAGTGGAGCGCACCCATGGCTTCCCGCCGACAGTGCGCATTTAAAAACTAGTACCTCCAAGGTACTAGTAAACGTTTGCCACAGGCTGCCTCCAGACGCCCATGGTGTGATTGCGCCGGCATGCGGCATTCCCCTCCGGTCCCTCGTTTACCTGCCGGCGCCGATGGAAGGACCCGTGGTGTGCCGCCTGCGCTTCTGATTGCGTAATCTCGGATCAAACTGCGCTGGGGCAATTAGCCACGCCTCCCCCCGCGATATCCGGCCCGTGTGACCGGGGCCTTTGTTTAGTTTTATTGAGTCACAGTTAAGAACATAAGAGCCTTGCTAGATCACACCAGTTTGGTGTAGTGGTTAGGAGCGTGGACTCTAATCTGGGAGAACCAGGTTTGATTCCCCACTCTACATGCAGCTGCTGGTGTGACCTTGGGTCAGTCACAAGTTTTTTCAGAGCTGTTCTCTCAAGGGCAGTTCTCGAGAGTGCTTTCTCAGCCCCACCTACAGGGTGTCTGTTGTGAGGAAATGAAGGGAAAGGAGAATGTAAGCTGCTCTGAGACTCCTTCGGGTAGTGAAAGGCGGGGTATAAATCCAATCTACCCTCCTCCTCCTTCTAGTCCAGCGTCCTGTCTCACACAGTGGCCATACTTTTCCTCTGGAGAGCCAACAACAGAGCTTAGAGGCCGAGACCTTCCCCTGATGTTGCCTTCTGATAGACCTATCCTCCATGAATCTATCTACTCTTTAAAGTTGTTTATTCCTGTGGCCATCACTACATCCTCTGGCAGTAAATTCCACATTTTAATCACTCGCTGTGTAAAGTAGTATTTCTCTTTATCCTAAATCTACTGCCATCTTCTTCATTGGACCCCTTTGATTTTTAGTATTTTGGGAGAGGGAGAAAAATTTCTCTTTGTCAACTCTGTCTACCCCATGCATAATTTTATAAACCTCTATCACGCCCCCCCCCTAGTCATCTCTTTTCTAAACTGAAAAGCCCTAGACTCTTCAGCCTTTCCTCATAGGGAAGGTGCTCCAGTCCCCTAATCATCTTGGTTGTCCTCTTCTGTAATTTCTCCAGCTCTGTGATGTCTTTTTTGAGATACAGTGACCAGAACTGTACACAGTATTCCAAATCAGGCCACACCGTAGTAGATCTATACAGTGGCATTATAACGTCTGCTGTTTTATTTCCCCTCTTGTTAGCTTCTGATCCTTATCCTACATGGTGCTCAAAGATAGCTGATAAAATTAAGCTGATTGGCTTGGACCCAGCAGGCCTGTTTGATATGGGACTCAACAAAGCAAAAGCCTTAATCGCCCAAAGATTAATTGATATAGATTCCCAAAATGACAAAGCAATACTTCCTTTAAATTATAAAAGCTTAAGAAAAGGATTGAGCTACACCATATCCCCATATCTTTCAGATATTACAAACGAAAAATGCAGATGGGCCTTCTCTAGAGCACGGTTTGATGCATTTCCCTCCGCAGTTTTATATGGAAGATTCTCCCACCTGCCCTTGCAGCAGCATTGCTGTCCCTGTTCAAATAAAGTGGTTGAGTCTATCATACATATACTTTTGCACTGCAAATTCTATCAAGAAGAAAGGCTACAATTAATTATTCCATTACTCTGCAGATTTAAACCATTGCAGTATTATATAGATTTTAGTTCTGAAACCCTTCGGGTATATCTATTAGGTGATAGAGAACTATATCATTTGTAGTAGCAAAATTCTGTGTGATAGCACTCAAAAAGCGATATCACTTGACAAAGGAAATGTCAGTTGCTGGGAAATAAATTAATGAAATGAGTGTGTCTTTTACACATATATCCCCATATCTTTTATGTATTTATTCATGGTGACTGGTCTTATGACCGTACTAAACTTTTGGACAACCCCTTTCCTAATAATCCCTAACATAGAGCTTGCCTTTTTCACTGCTGCAGCACATTGGGTTGACTTGACACTTTCACTGAACTATCCACTACGATCCCAAGATCTTTTTCCCTCTCAGCCTCAGCAAGTTGAGACCCTGTTAGCTTATACTTGAAGTTTGATTTTTTTTTTATTACTATTTTTGTTCTGGTCTGAAGAAGTGTGGTTTGCACACAAAAGCTTGCACTTTGAATAAAACTTTGTTGGTCTTAAAGGTGCCACTGGACTCAAACCTTCTGGTCTGCAGCTCAAGTCAGGTTCAGCACTTAGAAACAGGCTAGAACAGTCAGTGAGGACAATTTCAGTTCACTTGTAGCTGTCTTCCTATATTGTATGATAGATGAACAAAGAGTGATCAACTTTTCTGTTCAGTTCTTTATTTAGGAGGCACAAATTTGCAAAAGTGCAAGTTGTTATTTCTGAAATTTTGCCCGGGGGGATGACATTGGGGGGATTAATTCCACTCCTTTCATGTGTTGTGCAAGTAAAACAGATTAGGGCCCCCAGATTTTTAATCAAATCAGTATAATATCCATATTAAAAACAAACATTAAAAAATTAAGACACAGTACCTTTAGGAACAGAGGTCAATTTAGCTTCTGCTATTCTTATGTGATAAACTGTCACCCCTTCAAATGCTCCAGGTTCTATTCCATCATTATCAAGAGGATTTGCACTCATTTCTGTCAAAAGAAAGTAGTTTGTAACAGTGGCAATTGGTGACTTCTCAAGTTAGTGTGACTGAAATATTTCACTAACTGCCCCAATTTACACAGCAATAATAAATGAGAGCCTTTGTTCATGTATAGTACCTTGATTTCACTACTGAGAAATATCACCTGTTCTCTGGTGCCCCTTTGAATTACTTCTGGATGAGGGAGTTTTGGAACAACTTCCATACAAAAGGCAAGACCCAGCATCTCTTATTACACCATGAACCATCTGTGAATTCACACATTTTTGGAGTGGCATGTTGTTGTTCAGTCACACAGTCGAGTCCAAAACCCAAATAAATCATTTCACTTCTTTTTGAAGTTTGAAGTAGATTTATTAGGCCAGAGGGAAACACTTCAGGGGGGAAATGTATACAAGTGGTGGACTGAGAGATGATTTCATCTCATTTGTATACCAGATTGTGAACATGGCCGTAGAGTGCAGATCAAAACATCTGCACTATATGGCCATCTACGGAGGAGGAGGATTTTTCTACAAACCTGGGACAGCCCTGAGATTTGTAGGAAAATCTTAAAAGAGAAAAAGATGGCGGAAATTTTAAAAAAACCCCTCAAAATTGTTGATGCTGAGATCTTGCAGTACAGCATTTGGAGATCTCACAGTGCTTTATTGCACGGTCTTAGTTGCCATTTGGGGAGGACTGCCCATGAAACCCTATAAACACTGATGTATCTGGGGTGAGGTAGAAGGAGAGAAGCAGTTGTGGGGAAGAAAAGAGAGAGGAAGCCATGCCAGCAAAGTTGGGGACGGAGAAAGGGAAGAGGTGGCAGTAGGTGAGAAAGGTGATAGTGGAAAGGTGAGGAAAAAAGAGGTGGTGGGAAGATGCAGGGGAAACAGGTAGTAGTGGGATGGTGAGGAAATAAAGAGGTGGTCGCAAGGATACTGCAGGACTAGGAGAGTAAGGGGACAAAGGCTGTGATGGGGGGGGGGAGAAGCAAGAAGAAGTGGGAACTAGTGCAGAGGTTGGCATTTCTTCTCCCCTGCAAGTCCCTCTCACAGGTTGCTTCATAGAATAATAGCATTTCTATAATTCCTTAAAATGTTTAAAGCTCTTCATATAAATTATCGTAATCTTTACAAGAACCCTGTAAAGTCAGTCAGTACTATTATCCCCATGGGGGAGGCTATTGCAAAAAAGTGATTTTCCTAGGCCATCTAGTGAGTTCATGGCAGAGGTATACTTGACCCTAGTGCTACACACTTGATATAGCTGATGTGGTTTACTTACCTAAAACATGCAAATCCTTCATTCCTTTAAAAGCTTCTTTGTGTACCTTTTTAACCTTATTATCATGAATTCTCAACTCTGCCAAGACTTTTGGCAGGTTTGAAGGGATCTCAGTTAACTGATTGTGGGACAAGTAGAGACGTCGCAGTTTCTTTGTAGATTGAAAAGCTTTGGGATGTATCTTGGTTATTTTGTTGTTGTTCAAGGCAAGCGCCTAAGAAAATATGTGAATAGTTGAGGTTAGAAAATGTTTTAATTTTTATGAAAGATATATTTAAAACGCATATCTATTACTTTTAGCTTGGAAATAAATAAGTTTTATGTGAATAGAGGTTTTGTTTGTTTGTATGTTTGCAAAACTTTCTACATGTGTTGCATGAGCCAAATTTTACTCTCAGTTAATTGTCAAAGCATTCGTTTTAGCTTCTCTAATAGACTCCAGAGTCTACATTTCGTTATAATTTGGCTGAAAGTTTTCACCTTCCACTGTGATACAGGGAGGTTTATTTTACCTTTTATTTTTATTTTACCTTTTAAAATAGTTTATGTGTTGTATTTTGAACTTGTATGCAGCTCCCACTGGTCTCATATCTAAGGACAGTTCAAATCCATGGCTAGTCAGCTTTAGTAGGGCTGATTTTTTTGTTTCCCATTCATTTAACTTATTTAAATTTCTTTCAGCTGTCTTAGAGCCTAAGAGGTGGTGAGTTGCTGGAAGTTGTCAGTAGCTTGGTGTCCAGCCGTTCTTTACCAGACTCTTGAAAATAACCAAAGTACATAGGAAGCAAAGAAGGTTGTATAGGATACTTAAAAGCCATATAGGATATCTAAAAGCTGTCAGAAAGCCATATAGGATACCTAAAAATATGCACTAGTTGGGCATAAAATATTGTTTGCCAGGCAAAGTAATCCTGTGCAGTACCATATCATTCAGTCAAAAATATATAGTTTTCTGTCCATCTTTAGGTTTAAATTAGAAAATGGCAAGAAAATCTCACACACTTTTTTGTTGGTAGGAAAAGATCAGACTGTTGTGCTTGGAGAGGAAAATTTAACCTTAGTGATGTTTTCACCATCTAAATTGTTCCTTCCAACATCCTGTTCACATATTTTCCGTGGGAGGGGGGGAAGTAGGTTGTATAAATAGTTAACTGCCCCTCAGTACTGAAGCCCCAATCAAATTCAGTCCCTTTCCATGAGATCTATGGGAGATGAGATAAGTCTACTACCATCCTGTCTAGATTGGCCCATAATCAATCAGTAAATGTATGGTTAGTTTACATGTAATAACAGACTGTATTTTGCCACTCCAGGAAGTGTAATGAAAGGGCTTTTGCCCTTTCTTTGTCCCCCTTCCCATCCTCCCTGAGAGTTTTCTATTTTACCAATAAATGATAGCTTTATGTTACTTCTAGATCTAAAAGCTGTGATTTGTGCTTCCACTGAAAACCAGGATTCCAAACTAAGGTTAAACTATTGTTGGAATTCTGGCTTTCTGAACAAGTCTGAACCATAGTTTACTGATTCAGAAATAACAGCAAACTGCGGTTTGTTATGAAAGTGGAAATAACTCATTTACTGGCTGTGTGTGAGACAAGTGGAACAGGAGAGAAAGAAAGAGGGAGTGCATAACCCAAAGGAGGTCTCATGTGTGTTTATGTAGCAACTGTAGTTTGCTATTAAATTAAATCAAGCCAATTACTCAGGTTAGATTACAGCAAATCTAAACTGGGTCTTCTTCCACCCCAATAAGAAATTGGATTAAGAAATATGTCAGCTAAATATTTGGTACAGGTCAATAAAAGCATGACTTAAAAACTCATTTTTGAAATTCTCTTGATCATGGTATTTTTTATTAATTTGCTATCTAAACAAGACACTTCTGTTTGTAAGATTTCAACTGGCTACCGACCAATCTATAATTCAAACTCTTCAAAGTTTATACCAAAAAGAATGAGTGTTCTGTGACTAAATTGGTGTCTGGCATATAAAGACATCTGTACTCTTAAGTAGGGATATGCACAGACTGGACCACAGACCAGACTTCACCCCGGAAGTGATGGGCATGGAAGGGATGGGCATGGACAGGACCACCCCAGAAGTGGGTGAAGTCACCGCTTGGCCTTCACTAGTGCGCCATTTTAAGGGAATGTGTTGCCTTTTGCAAAGCCGCATGATGCATGAGCAAAGGCTGGATAACAAGTTAAAGAGACCCCACGGAGGGCGCATATCCATCCAGTGCTGTGCGAGCTGCACTGGTTGCCTGTGGAGCAGTGGATCAGATTCAAGGTTTTGGTGCTTACCTTTAAAGCCCTTAACGGTCAAAGACCTACATACCTTTGGGACCGCCTCTTCTGAGTTGTACCCCAAATGGCACTAAGATCAGCAGATAAGAATCTTCTGGTGGTTCCCGGCCCAAAAGATATCTGGTTGGCCTGGGCCAGGGCCTTTTTTACTCTGGTGGAACTCTCTGCCAAATGGCATCCGCACCCTGCCTGACTTATTAAAGGTTCACAGGGCATGTAAGGCAGAGATGTTCCATCAGGCCTTTGGTTGAGGCCAGCAATGTTTTTTTACATCTGCCCAGCACCCCACCTCCCCTATGACTGAACGATAGATATGCCATCTTGTTTTTAAAATGGTTTCTAATACTGAAATGCCGACTGTTTTATTATTGAATTTTTTATGGTTTTAATGGGTTTTATTGTATAGAATTAGTCTGTTGTAAACCACCCTGAGCCCCACACAAGTGGGGAAGGGCAATCAAGAAATCTAATGAAACCAAACAAACAAACAAACAAATCCACTTCCGGTTCACCCAGAAGTGAACTGGAAGTGTGTGAAGTCGCTGCTTGGCCTTCAGTCGCGCATTGTGTGGCTTTGCAAAACCATTGAAAGGAAACACATTCCTTTTAAATGGCTTTGTAAGCTGCTCAGGATCACGGACCAAATGGACCACAACCCGGTCCATTAAACGTGGAGGTTCATGGTCTGAGGGTCCGTAAACCCCATAGACCTTGAACCTCCACAGCCCACCATTTTTCTGGACCGTGCCCATCCCTACTCTTAAGTCTTTAGTGAAATAAATTCATTACTTCTTCTGAGCAATTTGAATCATTTCATAAATGGCTTTCAAGTACTTATTTCCAAACAGTGTATTAAATGAAAACAGTTTCACTTTGAAATAGTGATAGATTTTTTTCCTTTTGTAGAGTCGTATAAAATAGTTTGGGTTTTTTTTTTTTAAATCAACTTTAGATTTTGCTATATATGCATGGTTTTTGGGAGGGGGATTTGGATCAAGCTATAGCTGATCTTTTTTCATAATATCTGTTTTCATTCATTGAATTTGCATGCCTCAAAGCTCCTGTGCATCAAGCCAGCACATGTCAACCTAAAATAGGATATCTTGTCACTGTGGTAAAATCTACAATCCTCCTAGAGATATGGAGAATATAACCAGCTGGACTATGTCCCTAGTTGCTATATCTCAATGAGATGTTTTCCTTTCCAACCTTATTTCACCATCCTAACAGAAAGAAGATCCTTTCACCACTTGTCACCACTAGAAGCTTGTACAGATATCCAGTTTATTCCATCTGGAAACTAAATTATCTCTTTTTAACTTTCTCTAATTCTTCCTTTCTTCCCACCCCAATAGAAGTATGAGCTTTTCATGTCTACCCTTTCTTTGAACCTTGTTAAGTATGTGCTCACTTTAGACTTTTATGTGGGGCACAGTGACTTCTTTTATTCACAATGGACCCTGCCTCTTTTGTCTAGGTACAGAATATGTAACTGTTGAGGAATTATTGTATAGAGGCCATGTTTGGTGTAGTGGTTAAGTGCGCAGACTCTAATCTGGGAGAACCGGGTTTGATTCCCCACTCCTCCACTGGCACCTGCTGATGTGACCTTGGGTCGGTCACAAGCTCTGGCACAGCTGTCCTTGAAAAAGAGCAGTTTGTGTCAGAGTTCTCTCAGCCCCACCCACCTCACTGGGTGTCTGTTGTGGGGAGGGGAAGGGAAAGGAGTTTGTAAGCCGCTCTGAGACTCCAAGTGAAGGGTGGGGTATAAATCCAATCTCCTCCTCCTCCTCCTCCTCCTCCTCCTCCTTTACATATCCATTACAGTTCTTCTGACCTGATTCCCATCTTAGAAATCCTGTTTTTACAGCCTTTGCCCTATATGAGGAAGGCTATGCTAGGCTGCGGTGGAGCTGCGGTGGCTCAAGTGGTTAAGACGCTGAACTGCAGGCTGTGGAAGGTCAGTAGTTCAGCAGTTTGAGACCCGAGTGTGCCGCATGACGGAGTGAGCTCCCGTCTCTAGTTCCAGCTCCTGCCAACCTAGCAGCTCGAAAGCAAGAAATTGCAAGTAGATAAATAGGTACCACTTCAGTGGGGAGGTAACAGCGTTCCGTGCACCTCGGTGTTTAGTCATGCCGGCCACATGACCACGGAAACGTCTTCGGACAGCGCTGGCTCTTCGGCTTTGAAACGGAGATGAGCACCGCAACCCTAGAGTCGGATTCGACTGGCTTTCGAGCAAGGGAACCTTTACCTTTACCTTTATGCTAGGCTACCTTTTCAGCATTATTGAAGTTCAAATTATATATTATTATTTGGAAAGCCTATATGCTGCACTTTCAGACTTTGTTTGCAATGGCTTACAAGAATAAAACAAAACAAACAATGAAAACAATTTGTGGCAATACAAACATATCAATAAAAATCCAAGTCAACAAAAATGCCAATACAGGGCATAACAGTACGTAAAACAGAGAAGTTTAATATTTCCTTTCTCAAGTTGTTGTTTTGCACAAGCTACCTATGAGGTGAAGTGTCATTTCATCTCAGTCATAAGCTTGAATTCAGAGGATTTTATTCTAATCCAGCCATGGTAGAATTTAGCAAGAGTTATTTTTAACAGTTTCTTAGTGCAATAAGGCTGTCAGAAATTAAACTTACGTAAAGCGATGTGAGTCCTCTAAGGTCATTTTCCTTGACCTCTTTAATTTTGTTATTTTGAAGGTCTAACATGCGAGTATCAGGAGGAATATTTCTTGGTATTGAGGTCAAGCCTATTTATTAGGACAAAATACAATATAAATATGCATTTAAAATGGCATGTAACCCCTCAAGTGCTTATATTATTTTAATTGTTTGTTCTAGTTCTTATATTATTTCAATCATTTGCTCTAGTTTGGCATGCACGAAAATTCTGCCTCTGCAAGTTTAGCTAGGATGAGATTTATCTGACTTTTATAAAAGATATTTACTGGAAAAGATCTCATGATTTTTTTTGTTTCTGTCAAAAGTTTATTTTAAAAGGATTGTTTTCTCTGAAATGTGCAGAAATACCTTCCAGCTCTCTAAAAGCTAAACTTATTAAAAGCTATGTGTAAATAAACAGTGTAACTTTGCATGATTTCAGTCTGCTGTGGATGAAACATAAAGACACTGTAGCCACAGAATTTGTGCATAGTATGTGAGTATGCCTAAGTCTCCTTTCTAGGGGTAGTGGACTTGAATGCACAAAAGCTTATGCCAAAGGAAATTTGTTAGTCTTTAAAATTATGTTTGTTTGCAATTAGTAGCTCAGGACAGCTGTCTTTTCCTGCAGGGGTCCTTGTGTGGTTTGCAGGAGAGTTTATGTTCACGATCCCCTGTGAAGCAGCTGAGATTTTAGTGCATTATCTTGGTGCATACCCTAAGGCACTAGTTCCCAGCCTTTTGGGTATGGTGACCTACAAATCCAAATTTACATGCTATAGTGACCTATCCAGAGCTCTTCCAATTTTCTTTTCTTTTTTTGCACCCTAGGCAAATTATGACCTTGGCACCCATCTAGTGCAGCATTCCATTTTCTACAGTAGCTAACTAGGGCCACTTCTGCACCGTCAGTTTTGTCACTCATTTCCCCCTAGTTCTTCAGGGTTCCCCACCCCCCAAATGTGTTTTGCTCTCTCAGTTACAGAGGAAGCAAAACACATGTGGAAAAAAGGGGGGACCCAGAGCAATAGGGAAAAACAAGTGACAAAAGTGACAGTATGGAAGTGGCCCTTAGATGTTTTTGAGAAACCAACAACCATCACTCAACCCCCACTACGAACCCCAACTAAGCGTCACTCCAACATATACAACCTTTGCATATGGAGATGACATCTAGCCTTTGACCACCCTCTCCTTCTCCATTACTCCATACCACCCCTCCAAGATTCTAAGAAATTCACTCTAGTAACTATCAGGACACATTTTACTTGATCAACATGTATATGCAGTAAAGATAACCTATCAACTAATTTTTGACATGGAAGATGCTGTTTCCAGGGTCAGGTCTTGGTTTCCAAAACACAAAAAAGCAATGCAAAGGGCAGGGGAGGGCTGACCCATGACTCTGGGGTAGGGCGGGGTATAAATTTAATAAAAAAAAAATAATATTCTTTCCCCTGCTTTCTTTTCTTCTTCCCACCCACCAATCAGTCTACCTTTTATCTGCCCCCTTATGTTCAGCTATATTCATTATCTATTTGTTTCATCTGTACCTTACTTTTCTTTATAATGAAACACAAAGCAGCTTACTTCATTCTCTTCTCCTTCATTTTATCCTCATGACACCCCTGTGAAGTAGGTTAGGCTGACTGTGTGACTGGCTTAAAGTCACTCAGTGAGAACCATGGCAGAGTGGAGATGCAAACTTGGGTCTAATCTAGATCCTAATCTGAAACTCTAAACACTACACCGCACAAGCTTTCGGAGGGGGGGGGGCTGCTGTTGAGTAGTAGTAAGCAGCTGGGCCTCATGAGTCATGCATGTTACATATGTCAAGTCGCACATGGGTCAGGCCAGGTCATGATGCATCCTCCCTCAAAGGCCAAAATATCTCTGGGAAGGACCCTGCCTTCTCTCCCTGCCTTTTAGTGAGAGACAAAATTAGAAGGCTGTCAATACTGTTGTGGTTACCTAGCAACAGCTACTGAGGTCATTCATTCGGCTTGGGCTGAATATCTTCTGTGTAAATACATTTCATTAAAAGAATTATAGTTTCCAAATACTATAATCTCACTTAGGTTTTAAAATACAGATGCATAAAAACATGTTTGTAGATAAACACAATTTCAAAGAAATAAAATGTTAGCCTTACCCAAATCAGAACAGTGGACAACTCTTGAATAGCACTGACATCCAAAAGGACACACAGGAAATATGCCAAAAGTTGGAAAAAGAGAATTATCATCATCCTTGTCATCATCATCATCATCATCGTCATCATCATCCATTTCTTCCATATCCATGAGCATCATATTCTTTAACGTGAAATAGGAAGGGTTTATGAAAGGTTTAGCTGAGCACAAAGTCAGGAGGAAGAGGAACATATATTTGCTCATGTCTTCACAGAGTGCACTTTCCTAAAATAAATATAATTTCATGAATGCAGAAAGAAAATTATTTTTACCAAACCAGTAATTTTAATGCTGATTAAACATTGGTATTTTGCTACAGATAGCAATATCGAGCCCATTTTTTTGAGTCCTGCTTTGTTTGGTGGATTTGCCTGTGCATTTTGTTTATGTGTTTGTGATCAACTGCAGCTCAATATACTTCCTAGTTTATATTTAAACTATGAACAGCCGCTGTCCTCCTCCCCCTGATCCGCCTAAGCCACTGGTTCTCAAACTTTGGGTAAGGACTCAAAAGTGAATTGGGACTCTTTTACCGGTAAGTCACATGCTCAGATGGAAGGAGGAGGAGGAAGGGTGTGAAATTGGAGAGGAGACTCTTGTACACCTGTTAGAAAATTTGAGCTTTAGTATGTGAGATTTATTGCATTCCAGGATGGCCTGATTCCCCCCCCCCAGACCCATGTCAACAGCACCCCAAGATTATTTGACTGCCAGAGGTGGAAGAAGTAAATCCACCTTAATTTTAAAAACTGGAAGTGGAAATCCACATATCGTAAGGGAGAAAAGAATGATGGACACCAGGTGGCAAGAATACCATTGGCAGGAATTCCCCTAAGTACTTTCAAAAAGGGAGTAGCATGACTGTCTGAGAGTATTAATCTACTCTCCTTTGTCTGACCCTCGAGAGCTCCTCACATCCATGACTAGGGGTTTGCACTCAGCATAAACCAAGCCACAAAAAACCCTGGAAAATACCTTTCTGGTATTTTTGGGAGTATTTTTTAAACTGGTTACTGACTGGGGCTGCATTTCGGCTATTGAAAATGGCCACGCTCCAAAAAAACCCCAAAATATTTGGGGTTTTCGGGGCTGCCAGATAGCTGCTTAAAGAGCATTTAAAGGGATCATGGTCCCTTTAAACGCCTTCTCCAAGTTGTACTACTCCATGATGAGTTCACCCAGAAGGCTTTTAAAGGGCTTGCGGTCCTTTTAAGCACCTTCCAGGTGAACTTGCCGCTTGGAGAAGGCATTTAAAGGGACTGCATTCCATTTAAATGCCCTTTCCCCCGTCTATTGGAAACAATGGAGGATGAGGGCACTTTTTCTGGGGCCCATAGAATTGGACCCCCTGGTCCAATCTTTTTTAAACTTGAGGGGGGGTTGAGGAGAGGCACCAGCAGCTATACTGCAAATTTGTTGCCTCTACCTCAAAAAATAGCCCCCCCCTGAGCCCCAGATCGATTCTTCATTATAGCCTATGGGGACCATTAACTATAATGGTCCACAAAGGGTATAATGGAGCCCCCAAAAATTCAGCATTCCCGAACATTTACTGAATCCAACTACCATACTGGTATTGGGATTCAGGAATATCGGGAAATAGTAATTGTTTGGTGCTCAATATAGCCAAACCCAAAAAATGCCGGGGTTTTTTACACACCCTATCCATGACCATAAGCCTATGTTTGCAAGCTGTGGCTGGTTGGTTCAGGCTGAGCTGGCTGAAATTGAATCCGACAAAGATGGAGGTCCTGTGCCTGAGCCACGGTGGTCAAGGGGTAGGGATCCCACTCCCAGCTTTTGATGGGGCGCCATTGGTGCCAGCACCGGAGGTTAGGAGCTTGGGAGAGCTCCTAGACGTCTCCTTAACAATGGAGCCCCAGGTAGCAGTTGCTGCCAGGTCTGCCTTTTACCATCTCAGGCTGATCAGGCAGTTGGTTCCCTTCCTTGAACGCAACGACTTGGTGACAATGATCCACGTGATGGTCACCTTGAGATTGGGTTACTGTAATGCCCTCTACTTGGGGCTGCCCTTGTCCCAGATCTGGAAGCTGCAGCTAGTGTAGAATGCAGCGGCAAGACTGTTGTTGTGTCGTCCTGTGTGGGAACACATCCAGCCCGCCCTAAAAGAACTGCACTGGCTGCCTATAGCATACCGGATTCATTTCAAGGTGCTGGTCATCACCTTTAAAGCCCTTTATGGCCAGGGACCTGCATACCTGAGGGACTGCCTTTCCCCATATGTTCCCCAGAGAGTGCTGCGATCGGGGACCCAGAATTGGCTGGTTCTCCTGAACATCAAGGAGTCCAGGCTAGCGACGAGGGCGAGGGCTTTCTCGGTGGTGGCTCCGGTCTGGTGGAATGAGCTCCCGGAGGAGATCAGGGCCCTGTGGGACCTGTTACAGTTCCACAGGGCCTGTAAAACGGAGCTCTTCCGCCAGGCTTTCAGAGCCGCCACCACCACTGCTACTGGAGAGCGACCCTGACCCCAGGGTTCTGCAAGTATAGCCTGACCTGAGTACCTGGGACATCTGATGGAGATCAAGAAGCTGACTGAACGCCGAGGAAGCATGCTAGCACTTTAATATATTGTATTGTTGTTTTTAAATCTGTCTTTTATTGGATTTTATATTGTATATTGTGTTATTATATTGTATTGTTTATATTGTTGTGTGAGCCGCCCTGAGCTGGCTTTGCTGGGAGGGCGGGGTAAAAATCTAATGAAATAAATAAATAAATAGTCAAAGCAATCAGAATTCCTCTCATAACATACTCTCACTTGGTAAATCAATCATGAGCTAGGGAGAACCACCACCCCTTGGCGTTTGTAAACAGAACCTGACTAGCTTACTACTCAGGTAATTGCTTTTCCCTGTTGCCTCACCTGGTGCCCATCATCCTTTTCTTCCTTACTATATTTGGACATCCATTTCCCTTGGGTATGCATCATCCTCTACTAACCAACATTCGAATCTGCCAATAGAAAGCAGCATTGTGCACTTTTGGCCCAATGCCATAATGGATTCTAGTTTTGCCCAAAATTTGGCCAGCAGCTGGACTCCCCAACAGGGACTCCTCAGTGTTGGTGAGCGGAAGAAGATGTATACTTCTGTAGATCTAAGTGCAGAAAGAGGGCATCTCAAGCCCTCCAAACAATATAATTTCCATTTCGTACATTATGTAGAGGCCAACTGAAGTTTGCCACAATATACCCTCAACAGAGAACTGCAGCATGTCTCCCTAATGCATATGCCAGTATAATATATATATTTCCAAATGAGGAAATGTTCATTTTTAAGTGCATACTGGAAACATTTTAGGTGCATATCTACACAGTGTTAACCTGAATCATGGTCTCTAGAATATGGTAAATTTTAATAGTTTGAAAAGTAATAGTTTCTTAAAATGGCTGCTAGGTTTGCAAAGAAATCAAGGCATTGTTTTTGTCCAAGTAGCTGCCTGAATAATCCCCTCTGAACTCAGAGTTTCCAAATGCCACTAAAATGAGCTATTGATCTTAGCAGACTTGCTTTTTTAATAGTAAAAGTGTCTCAATTAAGCCACATGCTCCTATAACTTCCTGAGCACTTTGTTTTGGCTCAGGAAATTGTTATTTTAGTGGAGAGGAAAGCCCTTGGCTGACATTGCCAACTTGTATAAAAGTATGCTTGACTGGCAACGTTTGTCAAGTTGGCCTCCAGTTGATATATGAAATAGAGGTCAAAATTTATTTTCTGATTTTTCTGATTGTAAAACTTTATTTTCCTTTTCCAATCATGCTAATTATTTGCTTTGAAAAGCCTACATACATAGTGTTAAAACTCACTTGTCAGGCCACAGCTCACACTATGCAGTTCTTTCCAAAAGAAACAGCTCTTATGAAGTCAAAATGTATCACTATTTGGAAAAGCTATCTCACCTACAGCTCCACAGAAAAATAACTGGACATAAATATTACAAATAATCTGACACATTATTTAAATTACTTTCTCCAAATGACTTTATAGTTCTGATTTCATGTTTTTGGTTTCTTTCTATACCATGTGTTCATATTAGAATATTGCATTTTCAAGTATGGTGGTCGATGACTCCACTAGACTTATCCACTCTCTCCACATTAATTAGCATTGCAGGTTAATGCTAATTCTTATATATTTAAAATTATGCTGTCACATCAAATGTATTTGTAGTACAGAGCCTGATGTTGGCATAGAACAAATGATATGCTGCATTGCTTAACTTAAGGTGTAAATGTTAGATCCTAACTTTTTGTATTTTTTAAAATAACCAATTATGGATTGGAATGTAAAAACAAATCCATTAAACTGAATGCATACTTGCAAAAAACCTCATTCATTTGCCGAGTAGCTAAATTAAAGAATGCTACAATATGTTGGTATCATGACTCAGGGATTCACTGAATCATGGAAAGTATTCCATGTTGATAAAAGGCATATTCTAAAAGCATGGCTGTTAAGTTTAGGTTGAAGCATAGGCTTCCACAACATGGTTTCTAAAGTAAGTCAGCAAGCAAGGATATGCTGGTTCTCCTGTACAGAGGAAATAGAAAAGCCTTATGATTACTAATGATCCCAAATAATTGCTCTATACAAAAATTGCATAGGAAGAAAAGCAATATCCTGAGCAATTAGATTGCAGCTAGTTCAGCATTTTCTTGAACACTTGTACATCCTCCAAATAAAGCAATTCCTATTTAAGTTCTTTTTGTGCTTATGCACTTTGATAAAACAACATCCTCTAAAGAACAAAGGTGCCTGCAGAAATATTAATTGCTAGTAGACAGTGTTTAGACATAACATCACTGTGGTAGTTGAAGGATTTTTAAAATGCAAAAGCTTGCTTTGCTTTTAGAGGGGAATTAATGTATTCTGTTTTTCACAGTGCAATCCTAAGCAAAGTTACACTCTTCCATATTCATCAAAGTCTTAGAAGGCTTAGAAGGGTGTAATTGTGTTTAAGATTTTACTCCAAATCTTGTTTTAGCTTGTGGACAAATCTGTTTGAATTGTGCCTATCTAGAAATCTGCTAAAAACAAAAACATAAGTTGGATAGGGTTATATTATTTTTCTTTTACATAAATATCTTTTTGATGTTAGTCTAGTTCAAAAGGTACAATATTCAATTCCCTTTTTGTTCATATCATGCACAATATAAAAACATTTAACTACAGTATAGAGTTTTTAAAGTTTAATTTAAAACATGAACATTAAATATATAACATTATTAAGGATAAAAAGCTCATTGTTGACTTAGAATATTGTACCTGTTGCTTAAAAAATCCAAAAACATACCTTGTAAGTTTGTCAAGTTCTTCTAAAAAGAATATTCAACCTGAGAAATTTTATTTCCAGTTCCTGAATACTAGGACTCAGATTCAAGTCTGTGAAATGAACACTAAAAAGGGTGGGGAAATCACTGAGACATTCCTGTTCCTCCTGGCACTCTGGGTGATACTTGAATAAACTGCTTCTGTAGATTAGTCCATCTTAGTACTGACGAATAATGTTAAGAAACTTGTTACTACTCATGTGTTTTTCATCACTGCTTGTATCACAGCCAAAATTTCTAGCTTAACTCTAGACGTCTGAGCAAAGGTTGTGGTTAAATTTGAAGCCTAATAATGAATGGCAGAAAGCCGATATGAGCCCATGTAGTTCATTCGTCCATTTCTGATATACAAGTATACACCTCATGAAAAGAACCCAGTACAAAATGTAGTCTTAAATAGACAAAGTATTCTTTATCTAAGAAAAACTTCATAACAGTTGATGCTGTTTTATAAGTTATCAGACTTATTTTTTCAGGAAAGATAACTTCTTTAAGGAATTAGCAGTAGCAAAGGAAAAACATGCAAATAAGAAATCTATATATTGTGTTTCAAAGCTATCTTTTCTAAAAATTAAAAGAAAACTGCACTGCTGTGGGTCTTAGACAGGCAGGGAATGCCCACCAGGGTGCACTGTGAGTTATCAGGCATCCCTACCCTGCAGAATGGATCTGTTTATTATACTGAATATATCCTTGTCTTCCCCAATGATTGCCAAAAGAGAGATGAAGACGACATTGTGTCATTTTAGCCAACATGGAAGAAATCAAGGCTTCCCACTGCACCGAATGTTGAGCATTTCGTTCTTCAATCATGATACTTTTTCTTCATCAGATTGTTGAAAATATACTCAGACCCAATAATTAGTTTTGCATGATCAAGGGAACTGGTGGCTTATGTTTGTAGAATAGCAGATCTCCCTGTTATGTGGCAAACCACTTTTGAAACTCAGGGAACTTTCAAAAGCATTTTATGATATGGCATCACTAGCAGTATACTGGTTGACGCCTTTGTAGATGACAAAAGCCGCAAAACCAAGCCACCCACAAACAGTCTAAGATGGGTCATAAAGGCCCATCAATGGCAGTTGTTTACAATTCAGGGGTGTCAAACATAAAGCCCAGGGGCCAGAAGCTCTTATACTAGGCTCTTATGCGGCCTTTGAGCAACTAGTGCAAGGGAGGGAACTGGAGACTTCGGGGGGGGAGTGAGTGGAGCCACTCCAATTGTGGCTTCAGCATGGCAGAAGTACCTCGTCTGCAGCAGTCAAACAGTGTGGGAGTGTCTGCCCAGTGCTGTACCACTGACTTTCCAGTCTGCCCATATGCGTTTTCCTTTGCAGCCCCCTCCCAGCCCATGGGGCCTTGCAGTGAGGATACACCAACTTGGAGCTTACCAGCTGTTGTCCTTTATAAACTTTATATCTCCGGTACCTGGCATTAGATAGATAGACAGATATAGTTTATTATATGGTCTACGACCAGCACAGGTAATGTGACTGTATCTGGCATTACATTTCTGGCCCACATGGCCTGGCCCGACAAAGTGACATTTATGTAAGATCCAGCCCTCGTAACAAATGCAGAAACCCAACTTGCACACAGAGACTGAATGTTTGATAGCTTCAGTAAAGCCAGTTAAATTCTAAGGTAAATTTAGTGTTGTTGATCATCCGAAGACCTAGTGAACATCTTCCATTACTTCCCAGTATTTATGATAAGTGAGTTATATCAATATGAAACACTTTGGTGTTTAAAATGAAATTGACTTCCATATAAAATTTCTTATAATTCAAGCAGGCATTTCATAGACATGTACTCAGTTATGCATGTGTAGAGAAAGTGGATAGAAGAAACTTTTCTCCTACTTTGATCATTTTTGAACTTGGGACTACCCTATGAGACTGATTGGAAATACTCAAGACAGGCAAATAGACTCAAGACAGACAAAAACTACTTTACATAGTAGTAGTTGACTTTTTGGAACTCATTGCCATGAAATGTTTCGAGGGCCACTGGCTTAGATAAATTTAAAACAGGGGCTCTGGATAGATTTCTGGGGGATACCTCTAATGATGGCTATTAGCCATGATAGTACAATGAAATTCCATTGTTCAGAGGCAGAATGCCTCCAATTATCACACGTTAAAGAGAATGCAGCAAGTGAGGTTTCTGGGTTTCTCAGTGATCCCTGACCAGGAAGTTTCTCTTGATGTTAAATGGAATCTACCCTTCTGTAACTTAAGCCCATTAGAGCTAGTTTTGCCCTCTGGAGCAGCAGAAAACAAATCTCTGATTTCTTCCACATAACAGCCCATTACATTTGAAAAATGTGACATGTCCCTCACAATCTTCGCTTCTCCAGGTTAAACATACTCATTCCATTCAACCTTTTCTTTTGGGAAATACCAGTTCATTTTTGTTGGCCTCCTCAGATAAACAAATCCTTTCTGATATGTCTACACCTTTTTTTAAATTGCAGCACACAAAACTGGACACCACAGGCCAGAGTGGAAATATTACTGCCTGTGATCTGGATACTGTGCTTATATTTTTGTAGCCTAAAATCACATTAGTCTCATTGCAGCTGCCCACACTGCTGAGTCATGTTCTGTGATTCACTGTAATTCTAAAATTGTTTTCTCATGTGTTTCTGTCAAGCCGTGGATTCCCATCCTGTACTTGTGCACATAATTCTTTTTGCCTACATGCACAACTTAGCATTTATTAGATGAATTTTATTATGTTAGTTTCAGCCCAGCTGTCTCACCTATCAAGGTCATTTTCAATTTTTTTGTCTTCAGAGGACCTAAACAAAAGTTCCAATTTCTGTGAATTCTATTTCTTTCTTTCAAGGTGCTAGATATCCTTTCCAGTTCTGTCAATTGTATCTGTGTGAAAATATGCCTTCCAGTTTAGTGTCATATGCAAGTTTCATGACAATTCCATCCACCTGTTCATCCAACTCATTAATTAAAATGTTGCAGATAACATGTTTATTTCTCCAGTTTTTTAAAAAGTTGGCTAAGGAGAACCATCCTCTTAAGTGTAGAGCTAATGTAGATTTGGAGTTTAACTCTATTTTTCTCTCTGTTATTTCAGAACAATAGTAGGTTAGCATAATCATGTTGAAAAGTGACAGATTATCAACCCTGAAGAAATGTTTAGTGTAACATCTAAGATAACAAGTAACACTGAAGTCATTTTCTGTAATATGAATGGCTTTTAGGGTTTGCCTTGATGTAAAAAAACATACAGGAAAGATAGACTACTTGTGTCATGAAGTAACTGAAATAATAAGGGTTGGCAGACTTCTTTGTACATAAAAAGCATATTTTCTCAGTGGCAAAGACAGTTGAAACTTGAGTTTCTAGTGGTATGAAACCAACCAAATATAGTTTTCCACTAAACCTTAGCAATAACTAATGAACAAAATGCATTTCAGAGTTTGTGTAATACAATAACATTGGATTATACAGAAATAAATATCAGTCAATAGAAAGTGATCATATTTGGGGTTCTTGGCATGTTGCAATGTAATTAGAACTACCATGAATTTTTAAAATGCCTAAGTATGCTTGTATCTCTTTTCTGTAAACAGTCCAATGTATTTGTATTCCATTTATCAAAAGCTTCTTCTGTGTGAATTTCTTAAATGGACATATTCCACTCTTAGTGACTTACTTGAAAGCTCAAATTTTATTTTGTTGGAGAAGGGCCAAGGTGTTTGATTACATGACTCACCATTCGAGCTGTATGTTTTGGCTTCAGTTACAGTCTTATTTCAAAGAGCAGTACACTGTTTGCATTACTTAGTTATGGAAAATTCCTTATTTCAATTCTATGGTTACATTTGGTCTTAGACCATTTGTTGACAGACAAAGTAAATTTTATTTATGTAAATGTTTATATAACCACATGTCACACAGAAGCTTTATTAGTTTTTTATCCATAAATGCTCTCAGACGTACTCAAAGCTTTCTTGGTAGCTCATACTTTCAAATAATTTCCTCATCTCTGCAATGTAAAATAATTCAACCCTATTTTAAAATATTGGAAGGGGTGAAGTATGCTGGTGTCAGAGCGCCATAAAAAGAACTGTAAGTTTGGCCACCACAAGATAGTTGTTCTGTAAAGTTATATAACCGGATGGCAAATATAACTGCTTGAAATTTAAAGAATTGTTGGAGTGAATTGTGCCTATTTTAGCTTGCCTACTGTACTCTGTAAAATGACATTAGACAGGCACAATCCAGTGAACTTCTAGTGAACTCCTGGAACATACATTTGCCTGGCTTTGTGCTATGATTGGCTACTGGACTAGGTGTGACCTGTTTTACCATGCAAGGTTGTGTTCTGGATTAAATGGTATACTTTAAAATTTGTGGTTTTGAAAAGCAGTGTTATATCAATGCAAGACAGTAAACTTTGTGCGAATAGTAGCTAATCTTCCCTCTTCCACATTGCCCTTCTCTGAGCTGGGCAGTGCCTTATACAGTACAGCACCAGCCATATACTGGTTGGTGCACTGCACGTCTGTATAACTGCCTTGCAAGATAAGTCCAAGCTCCATCTAGTCTACCATTCTGTCCCCTTGCTTGGTAATTGAAAGCACAGGAGACTCCATTTGACTGTTGTTCTTGACAACCTTTTGTATCAACGATTTTTTTCTGAGAATTTTTAAAAGCAATCCAAATCTGTTCTGTAGTTATGTTTAAAAACTACAACATCCACTGACAATAAGGGTGCAATTCTTTTCTCCTTTGTGGCTTTTTACTGAAGGGAAAACTTGTGTCTAATGCTTAGTTTTGAAAAACTAAGGTTCCCAGTGCAGGCAGTGGCTGACCTTGATTATGTGTTACTTTCAAGACTGGGCATTGTATGAGTACAAGTGGGGAACCTGCAAGGACTTTTGGGAGGCATCTCATTTTCCCCTCCCTCACTATTTCTGCTTTCCCTTTCATGAAAGCCCCCATAGCCTCCCCCCACCTGCATCTTTCTCTCTTTCCCACCCAAAACCAACCTAACCTGCCTCTCTATCTTAAGCTCCCCCCTCCCAGCAGCCTCTACCTAGGAAAACTGTGACCCAGTTGTGTGGTGCTAGCCACTGGGCCAATCCCACTTACATGGTAGGAAACCCTCTAGGACTTGT